GAACAACTTTGTATACCAGTGGAGCAGCCAGCATGAGGGACAGTAGGTGAAGATGGACAGAAGAAAGTGAGCTACAAGGTGCTGAACACAAACAAAGATGGGTTGATGAATAAAAAAACAAGTAAGCTTGGGAAGGGTCACAAGAATATAAACCCAGATGTAATAGCACTCACAGGAACAAAACTATTGGGAATCATAACAAATGCAGTTTTTCTGCAGGACTACTATGTATTAAAGAAACAGAGAGAGGGAAGTGCTAAAGTCTGATTAGCTCTGTTGATAAGGTAGGACTGGAGTTTTGAAAAGATGGACATCTCAGACTCGAAGATTTCAGAGACCACATAGCAGGCACTATGACAATGGAGGACCAAAGATAATAGTAGTACTAATATAACCCACATTAAATGATAGAAGACCCAGGCAAGAGGATGATAGAATCAAGTTGCAACCATCAATATAATAGAGGAAGCAGCTTATATTACCTGTAGGAAGAAATCCAGACTGTTAATCATCGTTGACTTTAACCATGGAAAGATAGACTTGGAGAGCGAAGAATCACATGGAGGTACAGATATATGGAGAGCTAAAATATTAGATATGGCGACAAGAAACTTTCTAGGTCAACGTGTCAAGGGATCCACAAGAATGAGAGGGAAATGACGAACCAGCCAGACGTGATCTGATATTCATCCTGAAGGAGTCAGACATAAAGGAAGTCAAATTAGACCCAATAGGGATGAGTGACTACAGTGTACTGACATTTGAGTATCTGGTGGAAGTAGAGGAGGAATACATGTTTATGTGTCAGGAGGAGGAATACATGTTTATCCCAGCCCAAAAAGAAAGGAATGAAAAGCAAAAGGGGAATTCGTGGTTCAGTCAGTATGTAAGGAAGTAAGGAAGCTTCCTTATATACCTGACTGAACCTGACAAGGGCATGGAGAAACTACAGAAATAACAGAACACCAGAAAGCAGACTTACCAAAGGTGCCAGTACCTCAGTGTGAGAAGAGAAGCAGATAGACAGTATGAAAGCGACATAGCAAATGCAGCCAAGACCCAACCAAAACTGCTATACAGCCGCATCAGAAGGAAAACAGCGAAAGAACAGGTGATGAAACTGAGAATGGGAGAGGATGGGTACACATAGAACGACAAAGAGGTGTGTGAAGAACTCAATTGGAGATTCCAGGAGGTCTTCACAACAAAGCAAGGTGAAGTCCCTGAACTAAGAGAAGTGACCATAAATCAAGCAGCCGTGGAAGATACTGAAGTTACCAGAGATAAGGTTAGGAAGTATTTTCTAGAATTGGACATGACTAAGGCTGTTGGACCTGACAGAATCGCCCCATGGATGCTAAAAGAGAGGGCAAAAGCACTATGCATGCCACTCTGTATTGAGTATGACAACTCATTGCAAATAGAAGACCTACCAAAAGGATAGAAGACAGCTAGCGTAGTTTAATATACAAAAAACGTGACAGGCAGGAGGCACTAAAATACAGGCCGGTATCCATAACTTGTATTTGGGGGTGGAATGACCCTGAGAATAAAGCTTGGAGCACATCTGACGAGAAGGAAATTTGTACACACTACCAGCATGGGTTCAGGGATGGCAAATCGTGCTTCACATATTTAATAAAATGCTCTGACCGAGCAACAAGCATAATGGAAAAAAGAGAAGGGGTGTGGAGACTGCATTTTCTTTGACTATCAGAAAGCTTTTGATTCATCCCACAAGAGGCTGTTGCATAAGTTGGAGAAACAAGCTTAGTTGTAGGGTGCTCAGTGGATAAGAAAGTACCTAAACAACAGAAAGCAGAGAGTTATTATGGGGGCTGGGACCTCAGAATGACGTGATGTCATCAGCAGAGTCCCACAGGGTTCTGAACTCTGACCCATCCAGTTTCTGATATACGTAAATGACAAGAGGTTATTGACTCTTTCCTCAATCTGTCCAGATGACCTGGACAGATTGATGGCATGGTCCCACAAATGGCTACTAGAGTTTAAATCAAGCAAGTGTAAAGTGATGAAGATAGGCGTAGAGAGCAGGAGGCTAAATACAAGGTACAAGTTGGGAGATAAAATCCTTTAGGAATCAGGAAGAGAGAAAGATCTGAGAGTTGATATCAAGCCAGACTTGATATCAACATCACATGAAGCCCACATCATGAGGATATCATCAGCAGCATATGCGAGGTCATCAGCAGCATATCTCAAGTCAAACACCAAACGAAGTTAGAAAAAGTTGAGAGGTATGCCACCAGGAGAGTCCCAGAGCCGCAAGGTACGAACTACGAGGAAAGATTACTGGAATTAAACCTCATGACACTGGAAGATAGAAGAGTTATGGGAAACATGATTACCACCTATAAAATTCTCAGAGGAATTGACAGGGTAGATAAAGACAAACTGTTTCATTGAGACCAATGACCTCCACAACCCAGGCCAACATGGATTTAGATCGTGCCTCTCACAGCTACTTGACCACTATGACAAAGTCACCGAGGCACTAGAAGAAAAACAGAATATAGATGTGGTATACACGGACTTCGCAAAGTCATTCGATAAATGTGGCCATGGAGTGATAGCAAACAAAATGAGGTCGATGGGAATAACCAGTAAAGTAGGACGCTGGATACACAGTTTTCTGTCAAACAGAACACAAAGAGTAACAGTCAACCATATAAAATCGAGTCCAAGCGCAGTTAAAAGCTCTGTATCTCAGGGTACAGTCCTTGCACTGCTGCTTTTCCGTATTCTTATATCAGGTAAAGATAAAAATACAAGTCACAGCTTGTATCATCCTTTGGAGATGACACAAAAATCAGCATGAAAATTACCTCTGCTGAAGACATTGAAAAACTTCAAGCAGATATTAATAAAGTTTTCGACTGGGCAACAGAAAATAATATGATGTTTAACAGTGATAAATTCCAGGTAATCAGGTACGGTAAAAATGAGGACCTTAAACATAATGCAGGATACAAAACACAATCAAATCTGCCCACAGTAGGAATGCAACATGTAAAGGATTTGGGAATAATGATGTCTGACGATCTAACGTTTAGGGAGCATAACCAAGCAAATATTGAGCCAGCCAGAAAAATGATAGGATGGATTACGAGGACTTTCAAATCCAGGGATCCCATCACAATGGTTGTACTGTACAAATCACTTGTACTGTCCCGTGTTGAGTACTGCTCGGTACTCACTTCCCCCTTCAGAGCAGGAGAGATTGCTGAAATTGAGGGAATACAGAAAACATATACGGCACGCATAGACGCGATAAAGCACCTAAATTATTGGGATATTCTCAAAGTCCTCCAAATGTTCTCATTAGAAAGGAAACGAGAGAGAAATATCAAATAATATAAACGTGGAAAAATACTGGAGGGATAGGTCCCAAATCTACACAGTAAAATAACAACGTACTGGAATGAACGATATGGAAGAAAATGCAGAATAGAGTCAGTGAAGAGCAGAGGTGCCATAGGCACAATCAGAGAACACTGTATAAACATCAGAGGTCCACGGGTGTTCAACATCCTCCCAGCAAGTATAAAAAATATTGCCGGAACAACCGTGGACATCTTCAAGAGAAAACTAGTTTCCTTCAAGGAGTGCCGGACCAACTGGGCTGTGGTGGATATGTGGCCTGCGGGCCACTCCAAGCAACAGCCTGTTGGACCAAGCTCTCACAAGTCAAACCTAGCCTCGGGCCGGGCTTGGGGAGTAGAAGAACTCCCAGAACCCCATCGAGGAGGTATGAAGCAGGTTAACTATTCAGCACGGGTGATACGCGAACAAGGGAACACATGTGGAAACATAGTACCTGAATGAGCCACATACATATTTTGTTAAAAGTCCTAACAAAAATTCACAGACTGAAGTTTTGTTAGGACATCGTTATGATTCATTTTTTTCTATTTTGTAATTCCCTTAGACTCTTATGTCGTAATCATGTCTCCTCCTATCCTCTATTGTGGTACGGTGCAGTTTACTCAATCTCTCAACTGTCAATCAACAGGTGTACAGATTCCTGAGCCTACTGGGCTCTGTCATATCTACATTTAAAACTGCGTATGGAGTCAGCCTCCACCACATCACATCCTAGGGCATCCATTTGTTAACTACCCTGACACTAAAAAAAAAAAATAATTGTGTAATGTCTCTGTGGCTCATTTGGGTACTCAGTGACCCCTTGTGCGAGTACCACCCGTGCTAAATAGTCTGAATATATCCACCTTATCCATTCCCCTTGATAATTTTGTATATAGTAATCATGTCTCCCCTAAGTTCATATAGCCTGTCTTCGTAAACATATATATCTGTGTGTATGTAGGTTTGTGTGAGTGCCTATATGAAACCAGATATGTATATAATGCGAATACAAGAAGTCTCGTATTGTAAACACAGATTTATATATTAACTATTTATTTTACTTATGTAATTGGTTACAATTTCAGTACAGCTTATATCACTCCTTCACTGATGCCTGCCTGTACATAAGCCTGTATTGTGCACTAGCATGTGCACCAACCTGCCCTGTGCACCAGCATGTGCACCAACCTGCCCTGTGCACCAGCATATGCACCAACCTGCCCTGTGCACCAGCATGTGCACCAACCTGCCCTGTGCACTAGCATGTGCACCAACCTGCCCTGTGCACCAACCTACCGTGTGCACCAACCTGCCCTGTGCACCAGCATGTGCACCAACCTGCCCTGTGCACCAGCATGTGCACCAACCTGCCCTGTGCACCAGCATGTGCACCAACCTACCGTGTGCACCAACCTGCCCTGTGCACTAGCGTGTGCACCAACCTGCCCTGTGCACCAACCTACCGTGTGCACCAACCTGCCCTGTGCACCAACCTGCCCTGTGCACCAGCATGTGCACCAACCTGCCCTGTGCACCAGCATGTGCACCAACCTACCGTGTGCACCAACCTGCCCTGTGCACCAGCCTATAGCATGGAAGGCCTATCTGAATACCTAAGAAATATCTGGCACGGTGACGCAACAGGTAGTGACGTCACTAAGGGAATGTTTATCAACAAGCTGACAGTAAAATGTATTGTTTAATATCACATAATATTCGACGACTTTAAACTCTGAATACCGAAGATCCACATCTTCTGATGGATCTTCTGAATACAGAAGATCCACATCTTCTGATGGATCTTCTGAATACAGAAGATCCACATCTTCTGATGGATCTTCTGAATACAGAAGATCCACATCTTCTGATGGATCTTCTGAATACAGAAGATCCACATCTTCTGATGGATCTTCTGAATACAGAAGATCCACATCTTCTGATGGATCTTCTGAATACAGAAGATCCACATCTTCTGATGGATCTTCTGAATACAGAAGATCAACATCTTCTGATGGATCTTCTGAATACCGAAGATCCACATCTTCTGATGGATCTTCTGAATACAGAAGATCCACATCTTCTGATGGATCTTCTGAATACAGAAGATCCACATCTTCTGATGGATCTTCTGAATACAGAAGATCAACATCTTCTGATGGATCTTCTGAATACAGAAGATCCACATCTTCTGATGGATCTTCTGAATACAGAAGATCAACATCTTCTGATGGATCTTCTGAATACCGAAGATCCACATCTTCTGATGGATCTTCTGAATACAGAAGATCCACATCTTCTGATGGATCTTCTGAATACAGAAGATCAACATCTTCTGATGGATCTTCTGAATACCGAAGATCCACATCTTCTGATGGATCTTCTGAATACAGAAGATCCACATCTTCTGATGGATCTTCTGAATACAGAAGATCCACATCTTTACACGTACCTCAATCAACGCCCAATTCCTCTTTGGCATACGTAGACTTTTGGGATATTCTTTATTGCATACTTGAAAACTTTATTTTTCTTTTCGTACACGTATTTTGACCTTTTTTTTTTGTTAAATTTAGGTTTCGACTCATTGTATGATTTTTTTTTGAGTGGTTAATGAATCACGTTTTGATGAGTCGTTCGCGTCTGGGTCGTCCGTGGCGGACTCTATGGCCATTGGCGTGCGACGGTTTTGATAGTCTGAGAGTTTTTTTAAGCTTAAACTCAACCATAGCCTGCGGCCGATTTTTGTATAGGAATTTTTTGGTATCTACAATATGAGTGGGTCGACTGTCTAGCTTCTTCGTCTCCGTCAGTAGCGAGAGCCTCACGCGCTCTCCATCTCGGTGGAACTCGTACTTATCAGAAGGTTTGTCAATGTTTCTCGTGGAGTGTCCTCCAGCAGGCTGACTCTCGCCAGCGGGTGAGAAATTACGGCTGATCGTCCCATCCCTCTCGCTGCTGTTCTGACGTGTAGTTCCTTTATGTGAAACTTGGTCGTCACTGTTTTCCCGCCTTCTGCAGCCCCTTCTGCGGGATTTATGGTTAATGTGGCCCTGTGCGTTGCCTTCTCTTCCCACTATTCTTTCTTCCTTCTTTCGGTTTGCTTTCTTTCCGTTTCTTCTGCGACCTCCATTATCACCTTTTCTGTTCTTCCTCTCTTTCCGGTGCCTTCGACCTTCCTTTCGTCTTCTGTGCTTTCTTCGACAAGGTCTTGAATCATGATCGGACGAAGGCGTCGACGTGGCATGTGATGGCCCTTCGGGCCAACTGCCTGCGGAGGAAGGAGGGTTACCGCTGGGTAGCATAGTGGTATTGTGCTTGGTCTCTGCGCCTCTTCCTGCAGGAGTCATCATTGAAGACTCCCGGGTGGGTGCCGTTGAGTTCGATGGTCGTGTCGTTGAGGCCTGCAAGATGAGGATGGACAACGCGGTGGAAGGTGAAGTCGAAGTGTTGTCCAGGCTGGCGGCGGTGACTGGGGCGGGAGTCGCGGGGAACCCCAGGGGCGGCCGGGTGACAAAGATTCCTCCCAGTTCAGCGATTTCGTTCTCTGCAGGAATAAAGTCGAGGTCAAAATCCGTGGTTTCTGGGACAGAGTTCAATGGACAGAGAGAGAGACAGATCTGAAACTGATGTTTCTGAAGATAATAATGAATACAAACACACACTCACACGCACACGTCTTGCCCTGTGAAAAAGACAGTTTATTTGACACAGGAGACACATGCACTAGGAGACACATGCACTAGGAGACACAGGTGGAAACTGAGTACCCAAATGAGCCACAGAGATATTAGAAAGACCGTTTTTAGTGTCAGAGTGGTTATCAGATGGAATGCATTAGGCAGTTATGTGGTGGAGGCTGACTCCATACACAGTTTCAAATGTAGATATGATATGAAGATATGAACTCAGGAATCTGTACACCAGTTGATTGACAGTTGAGAAGCGGGACCAAAGAGCCGGAGCTCAACCCCCGCAAGCACAACTAGGTGAGTACAAACACACTATTTTATTATTTTTTATTATTTATTTATAACATTATTATTTATATATTGTTATTTTTATTATTTATTTATAACAGACCAAATTGACAAAGAGGAAGTTCTGGAAGCTGCAGTCTCAAGAAAAAGAGGTCACAGACTCAAGCTAAGTAAACAAAGGTGCCTAAAAATATTAGAAAGTTATTTGTAAACCAAGTGGTAGACGGTTGGAACAAGTTAAATGAGAAGGTGGTGGAGGCCAAAACCGTCAGTAGTTTCAAAGTGTTATAAGACAAATAATACTGGGAAGACTGGACACCAAAAGCGTAGCTCTCAGTCTATAATTACTCTTAGGTAATTACACACACTGACACACACACACACACACACACACACACACACACACACACACACACACACACACACACACACACACACACACACACACACAAGGGGTACACGCACTAGGGGACACAGGTGGAAATTGAGTATCCAAATGAGCCACAGAGACATTTGAAAGACCTTTTTTTTAGTGTCAGAGTAGTTGACAAATGGAATGCATTAGACAGTGATGTGGTGGAGGCTGACTCCATACACAGTTTCAAGTGTAGATATGATAGAGCCCAAAAGACTCAGGAACCTGTACACCAATTGATTGACAGTTGAGAGGCGGGACCAAAGAGCCAGAGCTCAACCGCCGCAATCACAAATAGGTGAGTACACACACATATATACACACACACACACACACACACACACACACACACACACACACACACACACACACACACACACACACACACGTAATCCTGTGGCCCGGGGTTGATTACCGGCGCAAGCTAGAAAAAAATGGGCAGTTTCTGTCACCCTGATGCCTCTGTTACCTAGCAGTAAATAGGTACCTGGGAGTTAGACAGCTGTTACAGGCTGCTTCCTGGGGATGTGTGTGTATGTGTGTGTGGAAAAAAAGTTAGTAGTTACTAAGAGTTGATTGATTGAGAGTTGAGAGGCGGGCCGAAAGAGCAGAGCTCAACCCCCGTAAGCACAACTAGGTGAACACACACCGTCCGCTCCCAGAAGGAAGTGTTGTGAGAGAGACGGGGGGGGGGGGGGGAAGGTGGCACCTACACAAACCGCGCGGGAAATCAACTTTCCTAACGAACATTCTCTCATACACAACTCGACATACACTCCATCACTGCCAATTAAAACAGTGACATTTTTTAATTTAAAAATATAGCAAATTCACAAATAATAAAACAAAACATTTAGATTAATCAAAATAAAAGCGAGACAATAATTTAAACCTTACTTCCCCACAGGCACTGATATGTTAGCATCAAATCTGCTTATTCAAACATGCATGCTCATATCCGTAGACTTTATCAATGTTGCTGTTAAAAATAACAAATAAAAAAAAAAAGTGTACAGTTTGTGATGTTTGTACAAAGGTGATGCTAAAAAAGTGTATTTTTTAGCATCACCTAGTTAGCTTTTTTTGACACACTGTAGTCCCCTTCATATAGTCTAAGGCAGCTGCACAAATGCAGATGTGCCTAAATGTGTTAATAAACATAATAGATGGAGGAATAATATTTTTTGATTCATAATCCGCTGCTCTTCAAGCAATCGTAAACTTCTGCTGGAAGATCGACGGCAAGAACCTCATACTAGCAATTATAAATGACCTAATCGCTGCACAGAGTAAAGGGTTTCGAATCTCCTTTGTATGGATACCATCACACACATCAGGAAAGTGTAAAGTACTGAAATTAGGCGAAGGGAGCAGAAGGCTGAACACAAGGTACCATCTGGGAGGTAATATCCTGCAAGAGTCATATAGAGAGAAGGATCTGGGGGTTGATATCACACCAAACCTGTCCCCAGAGGCCCACATCAAAAGGATATCATCAGCGGCCTATGCTAGGTTGGCCAATAAAAGAACTGCCTTTATAAACCTGTGTTAGGAATCGTTCAGGACCCTGTACACCACTTATGTAAGACCAATCCTGGTATATGCAGCTCCAGCCTGGAACCCATACCTAGTTAAACACAAGACAACGTTAGAGAAGATTCAGAGATATGCCACCAGGCTAGTCCCGGAATTGAGAGGTATGAGTTACAAGGAAAGGCTAAAGGAGCTGAACCTCACATCCCTGGAAAACAGAAGAGTAAGGGAAGACATGATATCCACCTACAAAATTCACAGGGGAATTGACAGGGTGGACAAAGACAAACTATTTAGCACGGGTGGGACACGAACAAGGGGACACAGGTGGAAACGTAGTACTCAGATGAGTCACAGAGACGTTAGAAATAATTTTTTCAGTGTCAGAGTAGTTAACAAATGGAATGCATTAAAGCAGTGATGTGGTGGAGGCTGACTCCATACACAGTTTCAAATGTAAATTTGATAGAGCCCATTAAGCTCAAGAATCTGAACATCAGTTTATTGACAGTTGAGAGGCGGGACCAAAGAGCCAGAGCACAACCCTCGCAAACACAACTAGGTGAGTCCGCACGCACATATACAAGTAGTAGTTCATACATACACAGGAGTATACAGATAATTAAATCAGTCAGTCTACCAATTCACCACAGTCACTGTCTCTCTTGACTCCCACGGGGTCTGAAATAATCCCGTCTAGCACCTATCAGCGTCCTCAATGATTGCATATATCCATACACGGTCACTGTAATCTCCACCTATTACCTTCCTGGCAATCAGTGGGTTTTATCCGCTCATCTCGGCAACAAGAGCTTCCGTGGGGCAAAGAAATGCTCGCTTGACGGTCCCTGCCTTATACGGAAGCTTCAACACAGGGGATGTGATGCCTCAGGCCGCTTCGTCGAAAAACTCATATAATCGCCAGTAATAATTCTCCCACTATAATTATCACTTCAGGGTGTCTCCTAGAGGGGAAAATAATCCGGAAACTCCTTATTAGGTGCCCGGGAGAGCTAGATCATTTCGGATGGCTGAGTGATCCATGTCAAATGGGAAATGGAATTTGTAAAAAAGGGCATTAGATGAGCCGGTCTCCAATGCAATTCTTGAAATGATTGTTTATTTGCACTCTGTCGAGTTGATGACAGGGAGGTTGTGGTGTTACAACAGTCATGACGCGCGCGCACACACGCGCACGGATGTGTGTGTGTGTGTGTGTACTCACCTAGTTGAGTACACACACACACACATCCGTGCGCGTGTGTGCGCGCGCGTCATGACCGTTGTAACTGTGTGTGTGTGTGTGTGTGTGTGTGTGTGTGTGTGTGTGTGTGTGTGTGTGTGTGTGTGTGTGTGTGTGTGTGTGTGTGTGTGTGTGTGTGTGTGTGTGTCTTTGTGCTCAACTAGGTGAGTACATAGACAAACAGACACACACACACACACACACACACACACACACACACACACACACACACACACACACACACACACACACACACACACACACACACACACACACACACACACACACACACACACACACACACACACACACCACTTATGTCAGACCAATCCTGAAGTATGCAGCTTCATCATGGAGTTCATACCTAGTCAAACACAAGACAAAGCTAGAGAAGATTCAGAGGTATGCCACCAGACTCGTCCTGGAACTGAGAGGTATGAGCTACGAGGAAAGGGAGACATGATAACCACCTACAAAATTCACAGGGGAACTGACAGGGTGGACAAAGACAAACACTTTAGCACGGGTGGAACACGAACAAGGGGACACAGGTGGAAACTTAGTACCCAGATGAGGCACAGAGATATTGGAAAGAATTTTTTCAGAGTCGGAGTAATTAACAAATGGAATGCATTAGGCAGTGATGTGGTGGAGGCTGACTCCATACACAGTTTCAAATGTTGATTTGATAAGAGCCCAGTAGGCCCAGGAATCTGTACACCAGTTGATTGACGGTTGAGAGGCGGGACCAAAGAGCCAAAGTTCAACCCCGCAAACGCAACTAGATAAGTACAACTAGGTGAGTACACACACACGGGGATTGTGTTTGCGGGAGTTGAGCTTTGCCTCTTTGGTCCCGCCTCTCAACAGTCAATCTACTGGTGTACAGATTCCTGGGCCTACTGGGCTCTTATCAAATCTACATTTGAAACTGTGTATGGAGTCAGCCTCCACCACATCACTGTCTAATGTATTCCATTTACTAACTACTCTGACACTGCAAACGTTCTTTCTAATGTCTCTGTGGTTCATTTGGGTACTAAGTTTCCACCTGTGTCCCCTTGTGCGTGTACCACCCGTGTTAAATAATCCGTCCTTGTCTACCCAATCAATTCCTCTGAGAATTTTGTATGTGGTGATAATGTCTCCGCATCCTCTTCTGTTTTCCAGCGACGTGAGGTGCATTTTACGGAGCCTTTCCTCGAAACTCATACCTCTTAGTATGGCCTAATGCCATATCTGTTAACTTTTTCCAGTTTCGTCTTGTGCTTGACAAGGTACGGGTATGCTGGGGCCGCATACTGCAGGATTGGCCGTTCTCCATGTGTGTGTGTGTGTGTGTGTGTGTGTGTGTGTGTAATTACCTAAGTGTAGTTACAGGATGAGAGCTACGCTCGTGGTGTCCCGTCTTCCCAGCACTCTTTGTCATACAACGCTTTGAAACTACTGACGGTCTTAGCCTCCACCACCTTCTCACTTAACTTGTTCCAACCGTCTACCACTCTATTTGCGAAGGTGAATTTTCTTATATTTCTTCGGCATCTGTGTTTAGCTAGTTTAAATCTATGACCTCTTGTTCTTGAAGTGCCAGGTCTCAGGAAATCTTCCCTGTCGTGTGTGTGTGTGTGTGTGTGTGTGTGTGTGTGTGTGTGTGTGTGTGTGTGTGTGTGTGTGTGTGTTCACACAGACACACAGACACACACACACACACACACACACACCACATTTAACGTGCTCACAGAGCCTAAGCTGTTAGTAAATTGAAGTATACAATTATGATAATGACAGAGGGAGAGGGAGAGGGACAGAGAGAGATAGAGAGAGAGATAGATAGAGAGAGAGAGAGAGAGAGAGAGAGAGAGAGAGAGAGAGAGAGAGAGAGAGAGAGAGAGAGAGAGAGAGAGAGAGAGAGAGAGAGAGAGAGAGAGAGAGAGAGAGAGAGAGAGAGAGAGAGAACACGTTGACCTTCGCTGAAGACACACACACAGATGCTGTACCGTAATACGGTCGACAAGTACAATAATTACCCACCACCGCCACGCCCATGAGCGCTGCGGTAGCCATCCACTGTAAACAATCGAGAACTCTTAACAAAACTAAACACACACGAACATTTCTCTGTACACCTGTCCTTAACAAGGGAGAAGCGAAGACCAAGAAAATGGTGAAAAAAAGATAAAAAAAAAAGTCGACGCAGACCCGGAAAAATAAGAAGAAAAACCTTGCATTAGTCAGGATTGAATCTCTCTCTCTCTCTCTCTTTGTCTCAGACTAAACAATAATCTTGCAGCGAAATTCTTTTACGGCTGTGGACTTAAAGTGAGGTCAAGGGTCACAGGACTTTACGGAGGGGGGGGGGGGGGATGAGTGAGAATGGCAGAAATATGAATCTTATTCATTATTTATTCATTTGTCATCACAAAGACTTGGCAGGGACTCGGCTAGGGATGAATGTGAACTCCTTCATGTGTTCACGGTGTTCCGTGTCCCATCACGGGAGGAGGAGGAGGGGGGGGGGAGGGGAAGAATGAGAGAAGTGAGCAGAGGGGAGAATGAAAAAGGGGGAGTTATTTATAATATCATGGCTCCTCTCCCTAGTCTTTCACTTCCTTCTATTCTTCTTCATACTGTTTTCCTCTCCCAAGTCCTCCTGCTCCTGCTGCTCCTGTTACTCCTGCTGCTGCTGCTGCTGCTGCTGCTGCTGTTCCATCACAAAGCAGAGGTGGAGTGTGGCGGCCATAGTCCGGCGGCGCCACACACCCGGCCTCCTGACATGAAGGTACTTATTGTAACCATTTGGTGTTCCCCACCAAATTGTTCCCACCACCACCACCACCACTACCACCATCACCAGCACCAGCACCACCAGCACCACCACCACCATCACCACCACCACCACCACCACCACCACCACCACCACCACCACCACCATGTACCACAATGTGCAGTGATAGACCGCCAGAAAGTCGACTCTTGTGTTGTTGAATTTGGAAAAACCGGAAACTTTTTAACCGCAACATAAATATTAGACCTAACCTAACCTCTCCTAGCACTCCTAGGCCTATATACACGCTATATGAGGCTTAATATAGTACATATATATGTGCAATAGTAGGCCTAGCAATATTTAAATTCGTTTTTAGTTTTATCCGGACTATGAAATAATTCAAAAAGTGTTTTATTGGGGGACCATCACTCTGGTATTTTGGACCAGACAGTTACTGTAAGTGCTGTCATTCCTGGAGGCTGAGGTTACGTGCCCCCAACACCACAAAGAGGACGGTCTACGTGCCCTTGTGGCACCTCCCTGCCTCTCTCTCTATCATCTCTCTTGTGCAGTGGCTGTACAAAACTAAATGTGCTCGTTTAATTCTATGACCAGACGCATCTTTGTAATGTGATTGTCTTCCGTGATACTGCAAGTCTAGGTAACTTTTTTTTTTTTTTGGGGGGGGGAGGGGTCTGCGTTAATGCCTTCGTACACGAGAGTACACATTATCATCATTACCCAGTTCCCTCTTTCCTTGGTATTTCCCGATTTCTTTGGTGTTTCCCGATTCTTTGATGTTTCCCGATTTCTTTGGTGTTCCAGCTTTCTTTGGGGTTTCCTGCTTTCCTTGGAGTTCCGCGCTTTCTTTGACACTTCAAAGGGCGACATCAGCTTGAAAATGAAGGTGAGTAAATATTGTAAAATACGCCAAATACTGACACTAAGCAGTAGATGGACTCTTGGTTCAACCTTGACGACGAGCGGACGTCTGGACGCCTCCTCCACCTGGAAGCTGCAGGATCACGTTCTGATTCGCGATTTTGGATTTGATACTGGCGTCTGGTATTCCTATTCGGTGTGCACGACGCCTGGCGCGCATATCATCTTGGGTCACAGGATTGTTGATAGATTTTGAAAGTTTTCTGGTTCTCTTGCAGGGTGACGGTGTCCGGCGCCGGCTTGGCCGAGAGGTGCCGGGAGTTGGCGGGTCTTGGTGGGCTCCTGGTGTGCCCTCAGTCGTGGTGGGCGGCTGGCTTCTGCTCTGCCGGAGGACATTGGATGACTTTTTGCGTTTTAGTTGGGGGCAGAGTTTTTGGGTTAGCTACCTGGTGTTCTCTGTGTGGGGCGGGGCCTTTTCTTGTCACCCTGAGGGACTCCTGGGGCTCCCCAATCATGTGCCTGATTGTGCGTTTTGATCCGAGTCTTTGTTTCGCAATTAGGATTTGCGATTAACCCTATACGGGTAGGCTGGGGCGCATCCAATCCCACGATCGTCGTCGCCCCTCAATCATCAACAACAACTAAGCAGTAGATGATTTCTGGGAGTTAGGAGTCTGTTGTGGGTTGCATCCTGGGGAAGGGTTACTTGTCGGCCACTGATAAACAAACACGGCACTTGTGAATTTAAACAGAGAGGAAGACTACAGAGAATTGCAGGAGGATCTTGTTAAGCTCCAGGAGACGGCAGTCAAGTGGCTGGAAGTTCACTCCCAACAGAAGAAAGGAAATATTAAGATAGGAAAGGGAGATGGGAGAATAGACGGAATCTACACCATAAGAGGAAGACATCTACAGGAATGTGAAAGAGAAAAAGACTTGGGCGAGGACATTGTTCCAACACTGCCACAAGAGCCACACATAAACAGGGTAACATCGGCAGCATGTGGAACGAAGATAACATTAGAACAGTATTTTAAACCCTAAATAACGGCTCTTTCAATAAAATGTTTGCAGCCCCTGTTACCTAGCAGTAAAATAGGTACCTGGGTGTTAGTCAGCTGTCACGGGCTGCTTCCTGGGGGTGGTGGCCTGGTCGAGGACCAGGCCACGGGGACACTAAAAAGCCCCGAAATCATCTCAAGATAACCTCAAGGAGCCTATGTTAGATCAGTACTAGAATATGCATCACTGACACGGACTCCGCCCTCGTGAAACACAATTAAAGCATAACTAGTGAATGTGTAAATATCTGTAAGAAAGAAAGTCAATGCCTTAATTACGAGAACTAAACTTAGATGATAGGTTGAGGGAACCCAGTCTTACACCATAGAGGAGAGAAGGAACAAGAGTGGATATGATCACAACATACAAGATACTGAGTGGTATAATTATAATTTGCGGGTGTTGCTGCTCGGACCTGAATCTAAGTCATTTATATGATTTAAATTTAGATATATCGAATGAAACAATTCGATTGTTTCAAGCGTGGGTTGGACATGTTTATGAGTGGGATTGGGTGGTTATAGATAGGAGCTGCCTCGTATGGGCCAATAGGCCTTCTGCAGTTACCTTGTTCTTATGTTCTTATATATAGAAAAAGTGGACAGAGATTGTTTTCATTGAAAGAAAAAACAAGACGATAAAGGTGGAAGCTGAAAACGTAAATTAGTCGAGGAAACTTAAGGAAATAATACTGGAATCTGTACCAGTCTTTAAAGCAGTACGAGTATTATTTCCTTAATACTGCAGAGAAGTGCTCTGTACTTATCTGGAGGTTGTGTGATGCACTTCACTTACCAAGTGTTTTGTTTATTATTAGTCTTTACCACAGACGTGGCCACACATTTACAATGCTAACCAGCATATATACATTTTCTTCTGTCCTCCATGGACAGGGTTAGAGATCTGTTAAGCATATAGTTAAGGGATTTATTGGTCAACCACAGAAAGTGATTGTAGTGCTTTTAAAATGCTAATCTAACCAACTTACAAAAATTCCACTAGACAGCTGGCGGGTGGAAACACAGGGTTGAAGAGCTAACAGCTCATCTTTTAGGCAGGGGAATACACAGAATCAGGTAGGCATGAGAACATGCACGCAAGTGCGCGCGCACGCACACACACAACAAAATAGCCGAAACTCAACTGCCTAAAGTACAATTAGGTGAGTACACACACACACACACCCACACCCACACACACACACACACACACACACACACACACACACACACACACACACACACACACACACACACACACACACACTCACACTCCCCACCCATGCCAACTACGCTACCGCAATACAGACAACCCTCACACTTGTGTGATCCATTTGACTTACCAAGAGGTTGTGCGATGCACTTGAGGCTGTATGATACACTAACCTTGAGGGTGTGTGATACACTTGACTCACCTGGAGGTTGAGTAATACACTTGCCGAAGAAGTTGACATAGTGAGGGTTGCAGGAGGAACAGTAGTGGTCCCCAAGACACTCTGAGCAGCCTCGCATTGTACACTCTGAAATACAGTCATAGAATTAGGTATCTTGCAGTCAAGTGTGTGTGTGTGTGTGTGTGTGTGTGTGTGTGTGTGTGTGTGTGTGTGTGTGTGTGTGTGTGTGTGTGTGTGTGTGTGTGTGTGTGTGAGGAATAATTGAATATTTATTGATTGTCAAAATAATCAAAATAAACAATGATTATTTCAGTCCCGAGACCAACATACTCTTCAGCATAATAAACATACATATGAGCTCCTTAACGCCGTCTAAGCAACACCATGGATGCTTATTGTATCACATCGACGATCTGTCGTAGCCTACGCTTCAGGTTGTAGCCTCTAAAGAATGTAATACTGCAGATGAGTGGAGTAAGTTTTGTGACCAGTGCTCACCAGGCCGGCCAGGGGCGTTGGGCTCCGTCCTTCCGTTGGGCTCACAGCTCGGAGCGGGAGTTTGTGGCAGTTGACAGGCGCTGCTGCGAATTCGGATGCCTCGGGGATTCAGCTCCATTCGGACCGCTCCCTCTGTGGTTCATTGCCTCAACCGAGGGGGTGGAGGTTGGTCTGTGGTCCACGGCTCTTTGGGGCTGGTCGCCTCGGGTAGCTCTTCTGCTCAGTTGTTGGGGTTTCACTCTCCGCACCGTTCGCATTCACGGGTGTCCAACGTTCTAGCGGACGGCCTGTCTCGCTTTCTTCCTCTTTCCATGGCGTGAACGGTCGACGCCGCCTCCTTCCTTTGGCTTTGTCGCCCGTTAGGGCGACCGGAGGTGGACCTTTCAGCGTTGGCCTGGTCACGGCGCCGCCTAATTTGTGTGGCGCAGTTTACCCGACAGCAAGGCGCTCGCGGGGGGGTAGAAATAGCCTAAGCTACTCTATCCCTTTGAGATGTATTTTTTTCTTGTCTCAATAAACATACTTGAACTTGAACTTGAAGGCGCTCGCGGTAGGCGCTTTCCGGCATTACTGATTCAGGCGGGGGTTCCTTTACTTTTATTCCCCGGTCCGGGTGTTGCTTCGGGTTCTGGCTCGGCTCGAATCCTTTCAGGGGAGAGTGGTTCTCCTGGCCTCATGGTGGTCGGCCCAGCCTTGGTTTTAGACGCTGTTTGCATGATGCCCGAACCCGGGCGCTTTTCCGCGGCTCCGCCTTTTTCAGCAGGTTGGGCCAGTTATTATTATTAACATTTTTATTGACAAAAGTAATTACAATTTTGCCTAATCTGAGGATTTTGATAAAGCCTTATTAAAGTGAGGATAATGCTGGTATTTACTGTCACGCAGGACAGAGGGTCATACATAAGACAATAGGTCTAAACTGTAGGCTGAAGCACATATATATCATAGTTACAATCAATGTTTTAATGTATGGATATGTGAAAACAACTTTCTATTGTGCACTGCCACACAAGGGCAGGGATGGGTTCATAAGTGATGCAGCTTAGAAGTAATATAAATAAAAATTTTCTTCATTCTTTAAAATAGACAAGCAAATTTTGGATAAATTGTTAGGATGTCGTCCAGAACACCTGAGTCAGTAAAATAGTTACACAGTTGGTGGTACAAGAGGCCAGGAGGTCTAAAGTCCTTTACGGTTTCACATTCAACAATATAGTGTTCTAGTGAATGCATTAAAGGTTTATCACAGAGTTTACAATCTGAGTATTCTGGTAGTGGCTCAGCCTCACCAACCTGCCAGATGTACCTATAGCCAAGGCGAATTCGCGCAATGACTACATCACATTGCCTGTTTCGGTTACTGTGCTGACCATACAAATACCTATCATTACAAAACTTGTCATAACTTTTATTACTGCAGCTTTCAGGTCTCTGGGCATTTCTTAGTTCTAAATCTGAATTAATTTCTATAATTTGTATGTTTCTAATAATTGCATTAGATAGTCCAAAGTCATAATCAATGTTTTTTTTCCTGCAAGCCTCATTGGCCAATCGATCTACAAAGTCATGTTTTCCAACTCCAACATGGGATGGGATCCACACAAATTTTATACAAGAGTTATTATCATTGGCAAAAATTAGATTCCATTTAATATTATAAGCTACTTCCGACATACATTGTGATGGGTTATTTAAGGACTGCAGAGCACTTTTAGAGTCACAGAAAATAACTCCACCACCATTGAGCTTAAGGTATTCAGTGGCTAGATAAATGCCCAATAGCTCGGTCTGTGTCGTGCTTGCCTAGTTGTTCAATCTTTGTGTATTAGACATGATCATTTCACTCCCTTTATATACTGCACATGCACAACCTGTTCTACCAGTGCCTAACTGCACAGTGCAATTAGTAAAGGCATAGGATTCAGTCGGTTTGAGAATTTGAAGATGACTGTCAATTGCTTCTAATGTTACACATCTCAAAATGTCAGTGTTATACATTTGTTTTACACTGATGGGGGTATAATGCAGAGAAACCTCCACATCTTTCCAAGGGGGAATATAGTGAACAGTTTTATCAGGGTTAAGAGACACATTCAGTTTCAGAAAATTATAGGCACAACAATTGAGCCACACACTGTAGGGAGCTTTTTGCGGCGGATTGAGGGAACAGTCAGAATTGTTTAGAATGGATCTCAATTTAATTTGAATAGAGCTGGGGGACCATTATTTTTCAAAGTTTTGGCGCAAAACATAGTATTAAGTAGAACTATTCTCTCGTAAATAGAAGGTAATTTTAGTTCCTTTCTCATGTTAACAATTCTGACAGTTCTAGGACAACCCAGGATGATGTGCATGGCATCATTCTGTACTACATCTAGACCTTGTAATTGTTTAGGAGAAAAATTAAGAAGATGCAAGGCATAATAATCAACAACAGATCGTATACAGGCAATATAAAAACTACGAGCATATTTTATGTTAATGTCAAATCCTTTGCCAACAAGAGTTTTGAGAGGTTTAAGACGCTCAACAAGTTTTTTACGCAGGTTGCTGATGAGATTTGTATCATTAACCTCGACTCCAAGATATTTATAAGACTCACAAGTCTCCACGGGCACTCCATTAATAGTATAGTTAGCATGAAGAGAATGGGGAATAAGAACCCTTGTTTTATCAACAGAGATTATGAGGCCACATTCTACTACTTTCTTGGAGAATGCATCAAGTAACACTTGTAGCCTTGGTTTACTGTGTGCCATAATACAAATATCATCAGCATAACATATAACAGTTTCCGTAGGTTGTACAGGTATGTCATGGATAAGTTTGTGCATAAGTATATTGAAGAGCATAGGGCTTAGGACACCACCTTGAGGTGTGCCTAGTTCGAATGCATCTGTTCTTTTACTTTTAACTCTTTTAAATAGGACACTAGCACACCTATTGGATAGGTAGTTCTTTATCCAACTCAGAAGATTACCTTTGATTCCAAATTCAGCAAGTTGCTCTAATATTATTTCGCCATTCGCTACATCGAAAGGTAACTTTAGGTCAATAAAGGTTGCCTGTGTCCCATCCTGGGAGTTTACAAAATATTCAGCAAAGCATGTTTGTGTGCTACACTTGGGCATGAACCCATATAGGTTTGGGGCCAGTTTTTCTTTGACCTGAAACATGACACGATTGAGAACAATTCTCTCCAAGACTTTACACATGCAAGATGTAAGGGCCAGTGCTAGTTCCTTCGAACCTTGCTAGTTCGACTTACTCTTCCGCTCTTCGCATTTTTTCTTTTACGTGGGTGTATCGCTATTTGCATAGTGATCAGGTGCCTTCAGTGATGGTGTCCCACCTGCGGTCTTCCTCTCACCCACTCTGCTAAAGTGAACTTTCTTATATTTCTTCGGCATCTTTGTTTAGTTAGTTTAAATTTATGACGTCTTGTTTTTGAAGTTCCAGGTCTCAGAAAATCTTCCCAATCAATCTTATCAATTCCTGTTACTATTTTGTACGTAGTGATCTTATCGCCTCTTTTTCTTCTATCTACTAGTTTTGGCATATTTAATGCCTCTAACCTCTCCTCGAAGCTCTTGTCCTTCAATTCTGGGAGCCACTTAGTGGCATGTCTTTGCACCCTTTCCAGTTTGTTGACGTGCTACGAATCGTGCGGCGCTGGCGGAGCCGCTCCAGCTTGTGTTTGGGGAGGATGTCACTTGCGCTCCGTTCCGCAAGCTCTCTCGTGCATTTATTTACCTCCGGCCTGCCTATGCGCCGCCCGAGTCTTCTTGGTCTCTGGGCCGGTTGCTCTCGTTTCTCTCTTCTCATTTATTTATTATTATTAACATCTTTATTGACGAAATTAATTACAATTTTGCCTAATCTGAGGATTTTGATAGTCTTATTAAAGTGAGGATAATGCTGGTATTCATTGTCACGCAGGACAGAGGGTCATACACAAGACAATAGGTCTAAACTGTAGGCTGAAGCACATATATATCATGGTTACAATCAATGTTTTAATGTATGGATATGTGAAAACAACTTTCTATTGTGCACTGCCACACAAGGGCAGGGATGGGTTCATAAGTGATGCACCTTAGAAGTAATATAAATAAAAATTGTTCTTCATTCTTTAAAATGGACAAGCAAATTTTGGGTAAATTGTTAGGATGTAGACTGTCTTGTTCACTTGTGTCATGCTGGAGTGTAGACTGTCTTGTTCACTTGTGTCATGCTGGAGTGTAGACTGTCTTGTTCACTAGTGTCATGCTGGAGTGTAGACTGTCTTGTTCACTTGTGTCATGCTGGAGTGTAGACTGTCTTGTTCACTAGTGTCATGCTGGAGTGTAGACTGTCTTGTTCACTTGTGTCATGCTGGAGTGTAGACTGTCTTGTTCACTTGTGTCATGCTGGAGTGTAGACTGTCTTGTTCACTTGTGTCATGCTGGAGTGTAGACTGTCTTGCCCACTACTGTAGTCGTCATTATTAAATGTTCTTTACCAACAATAAAACTCGGCTAAATGTTAACACAAACGCTAAACATTTACATTATAAACGACCCGTCAGGGAGAAGCAACCATTAATTAGAGTTTTACGGCGATTAAACCATATTACATCTTAACGATCCTCGGAGCTGTTGCTCCCTGGGAGCCAAATAAACACAAGAACTCTCAAATTCACCAAATACTGTTGATCTATTCACAACATACATTGAAATCTATCTTATCTCTATGGGAGAATATGCAAATTTCTCTAAATATATGTAAGATCATTTTCATTCTTGTACGACATGCTTTGTGAGGCTTGAATACTAAGAGAGAGAGCGAGAGATTGAAACTCAGATGTTAAGTGACCAATTAGCCAACCTAAAGCTATGCCTAAAGCCAGGAGATAACATGAGTGGGCTGGCTTGGCTGTTCCTCACTGGGTGCTGCAGTGGGTGGTGCAGTGGGTGCTACAGTGTGTGCTACAGTGGGTGCTACAGTGGGTGCTACAGTGTGTGCTACAGTGGGTGCTACAGTGGGTGCTACAGTGGGTGCTACAGTGGGTGGTGCAGTGGGTGCTACAGTGGGTGGTGCAGTGGGTGCTGCAGTGGTTGGTGCAGTGGGTGCTACAGTGGGTGCTGCAGTGGGTGCTACAGTGGGTGGTGCAGTGGGTGCTGCAGTGGGTGGTGCAGTGGGTGGTGCAGTGGGTGCTGCAGTGGGTGTTGCAGTGGGTGCTGCTGTGGGTGGTGCAGTGGGTGGTGCAGTGGGTGCTACAGTGGGTGCTACTGTGGGTGCTACAGTGGGTGGTGCAGTGGGTGCTGCAGTGTGTGCTGCAGTGGGTGCTGCTGTGGGTGCTGCAGTGGGTGCTGCAGTGGGTGCTGCAGTGGGTGCTGCAGTGGGTGCTACAGTGGGTGCTGCAGTGGGTGCTACAGTGGGTGCTGCAGTGGGTGCTGCAGTGGGTGCTGCAGTGGGTGCTGCAGTGGGTGCTGCAGTGGGTGCTGCAGTGGGTGCTGCTGTGGGTGGTGCAGTGGGTGGTGCAGTGGGTGCTGCAGTGGGTGCTACAGTGGGTGCTGCAGTGGGTGCTGCAGTGGGTGCTACAGTGGGTGCTGCAGTGGGTGGTGCAGTGGGTGCTACAGTGGGTGCTGCAGTGGGTGCTGCAATGGGTGGTGCAGTGGGTGCTACAGTGGGTGGTGCAGTGGGTGCTGCTGTGGGTGCTACAGTGGGTGCTACAGTGGGTGCTACAGTGGGTGCTACAGTGGGTGGTGCAGTGGGTGGTGCAGTGGGTGGTGCAGTGGGTGGTGCAGTGGGTGCTACAGTGGGGTGCTACAGTGGGGTGCTACAGTGGGTGGTGCAGTGGGTGGTGCAGTGGGTGCTACAGTGGGTGGTGCAGTGGGTACTACAGTGAGTACTACAGTGGGTGCTACAGTGGGTGCTACAGTAGGTGCTGCAGTGGGTGCTACAGTGGGTGCTGCAGTGGGGTGCTGCAGTGGGTGCTGCTGTGGGTGCTACAGTGGGTGCTACAGTGGGTGCTGCAGTGGGTGCTACAGTGGGGTGCTACAGTGGGTGCTGCAGTAGGGTGCTGCAGTGGGTGCTGCTGTGGGTGCTACAGTGGGTGCTACAGTGGGTGGTGCAGTGGGTGCTACAGTGGGTGGTGCAGTGGGTGCTACAGTGGGTGCTGCAGTGGGTGCTACAGTGGGTGGTGCAGTGGGTGCTACAGTGGGTGCTACAGTGGGTGCTGCAGTGGGTGCTACAGTGGGGTGCTACAGTGGATGCTGCAGTGGGTGCTGCAGTGGGTGCTACAGTGGGTGCTACAGTGGGTGCTACAGTGGGTGCTACAGTGGGGTGCTACAGTGGGTGCTGCAGTGGGGTGCTGCAGTGGGTGCTGCAGTGGGTGCTACAGTGGGTGCTACAGTGGGTGGTGCAGTGGGTGCTACAGTGGGTGGTGCAGTGGGTGGTACAGTGGGTGGTGCAGTGGGTGCTACAGTGGGTGCTGCAGTGGGTGCTACAGTGGGTGCTACAGTGGGTGCTACAGTGGGGTGCTACAGTGGGTGCTGCAGTGGGTGCTGCAGTGGGTGCTGCAGTGGGTGCTACAGTGGGTGCTACAGTGGGTGCTACAGTGTGTGCTACAGTGGGTGCTACAGTGGGTGCTACAGTGGGTGCTACAGTGGGTGCTACAGTGGGTGCTACAGTGGGTGCTACAGTGGGTGCTACAGTGGGTGCTACAGTGGGTGCTACAGTGGGTGCTACAGTGGGTGCTACAGTGGGTGCTACAGTGGGTGCTACAGTGGGTGCTACAGTGGGTGCTACAGTGACAGCAGGAGCCAGATGCCAAACACCTGGTCAGTTAATGTTAAAGTCTTCTCAGCTTTTTACAGTGTTCAAGCGCTAATCATTGCCTCGAGGAAGACTGTAATGGTGTTCCTGCCAGAGTGTCTTCCCAGGTGGTCGGGCAGGGGGTCGAGGCCCATGTGCCGCTTATGGAGGGTAACATGATATTAATGTGTGCTCTGAGAACGTTTAAATTGTTATTATTACTCTTGTCTCATGTTCTCTCTCTCTCTCTCTCTCTCTCTCTCTCTCTCTCTCTCTCTCTCTCTCTCTCTCTCTCTCTCTCTCTCTCTCTCTCTCTCTCTCTCTCTCTCTCTCCTCCGCAACTCGGCTTTCAAACGCCCTATCACTTACTGGCGCAGAAACCATTCCTCTTTTTCTTGAGCTTGTAGAAGCCTCTTGGACACGCCCTGGTGCAGGAGGCCGTCTGTCTCGTGCCCTCCCTGTGGAGCAGGAGGAAGAAGGGCGGCTTGCAGGCCAGACAGCCGTTGACAGCCGAGCACTGAGTACAGCCGAGGGGGCAGGCCAAGTCGACCAGCACACCTGCAGGGTGGCAAAAATAAGATAATATAGATTGCAGTTCCTCAGTTTTTACCGGCAACTTAATGTTGGCAAAATGGGTAAACATTGGGGGGAAAATGGGTGAGGTTGTGGGTTATTTCTTGGTTGGGAGACTGGTGAGTGAGTTTGGGTTTGGTATGGGTTCATGGGGGTATACAGCGAGTGCTACTACACGTGGGCATGGAAGGTGAGGGTGTGGGTATGTTTATCATGTAGAAACACAGCTTATTTGATCTTCCTCCATCTTCCAGGAAGCGGACAACGAGAGAGAGAGAGAGAGAGAGAGAGAGAGAGAGAGAGGAGAAGAGAGAGAGAGAGAGAGAGAGAGAGAGAGAGAGAGAGAGAGAGAGAGGAGAGGAGAGAGAGAGAGAGAGAGGGAGAGAGAGAGAGAGAGAGAGAGAGAGAGAGAGAGAGAGAGAGAGAGAGAGAGAGAGAGAGAGAGGAGAGAGAGAGAGAGAGAGAGAGAGAGAGAGAGAGAGAGAGAGAGAGAGAGAGAGAGAGAGAGAGAGAGAGAGAGAGAGAGAGAGAGAGAGAGTTAGTTCTGGTGTGTTTATATTTGGTGTGCGTACCAAATTAAATTTGTTATGCGTGCGTGTGTGTTGTGCATGCAAGCATATTGTTCACTAATCTCGATAAATCTTACCAATATATTAAGCACTGGGCACTATAATGGGCAAGCCAGCGCGCCACCCACATCCACAACTACACCACTCAACAAGCCTCGTAAACAGGCGCTTAATCTCTTCGTTTATCATTTGTTAACGATCAAGTATTTTCACAATGACCATATTCAACATTCATGTAACATTCGTCCTTGTTTTAAGTAATTCTAGAACACTTTTGAGCATTTACCAGAACATAATATAACTTATTCATCGTGGCTGCAAGTGGAATTCTTAATGTTGATCATAATGCACACCAAGAGAGACACACAGTTGCAATACTGGCGACAATCATTGTGAATAATACCCACCGTTATCCCAACATCTTTTCTCTCCATAATTTATTAATTCATTGCATACACATATATTTTACAATCGTGGGAAGGGACGTCCTAAACCTATTGAATACAGTTTTATTTAGGATAATAACCCCCTATTAAAGAAAAACTAATATAGAACGGATATTATATAAGGTAATAGAGGCTGTATTCATATCTCTAATAGCTGGTCTAAGACTACACAAGAGCACCACAAGATCACAAACAGCCATAAAAGTGAACACAACAGGCTACAGCATAGTCCTCACGGAAGGTAGGGGGCCCAAGAACTGAAGGACAACTCACACAAATGATCTTCTTAAGAACACACACTAAATTACTTGTCTTCAAGGCACGTACATCAGCAACCCCATCCGTGAGATAAGGACAAACACTTCACACAAACAGATGAGATGATTCATGCACTGGACGCTGATCAATGTTTGTGTGTTCGAAGCCGGAGTGTCCTATTCTGCTTGGACTCGTGTCACAAACACAGCCACAAACACCACATACAAACACAGCCACAAATATATATATCGAGACTATAACTGGGTATAACATCTGTGTATATCGAGACTATAACTGGGTATAACATCTGTGTATATCTGGAATATACCTGGAGTTAAGCTTTGCATATTCCCTGGAGGAATATGTGAATTATAATATGATAGAATATCTGACATTCAAGCTGGAAAAGTCATTGGCCAATTGCCTATAAAATAAGTGTAATGTTGGGTTCTAAACTGGGATGGGGGGGGGGGGTCTAAGCCCCCAAAAGAGTATGGGACCAAAAAATGGGGGGTATGGGACCAATTAATGGGGGTATGGGACCAAATAGGAAAGGGGAGGGGGTATGGGATGCGATATCTGAACTCTTATAAAAGACAGTAAAAATATCCTCAGTTGTAGCCAGCTGTATATTTGTGATCTATCCTGGTTCTAAATATAAACTATCCAGTATAAACTATCCATAGTATATGTAACAGTAAGATAAAATCCACAAGATAAATGATTTGGCGGGTCGTATTCCCGGGGATAAATTAGAATTAAGGACCTGCCCTATGTGTGAGTGTGCATACGTGGATATGTGTGTGCATATGTGGACTCTATGTGTGTGCTAGTGACTGTACAAGAATGTAACAACTTTTGTATATATAAATAAACGCAAAATAAAATAAATTACTGTTTTTTTTTGTACACCCAGGTATCCACATGTAGAGTAAACCCCAGCTATTGACATCTCTTGACGTCACACTAGTACCTTAAGATGGTGAAGATGACTACAACAGTCTAGTGAAACAGGCATGACGTCACACTATAAAATTTGGGGTTGTAATTGTAAAAAAAAAGTTAAGAACCCCCTGGTCTAAGTGGCTACTTTGAGAGTTGTATGCAGGATTAACCGGTGGAAAATCTGGCGGTGAAGTCAAGGGTAATTAACCTGGAGGACAATTTGGGTTTACCTGAGATGACAGGTAGTTAAGTCAGACAAGCGAGCGAGCCCAGCAATATACCTCCCACTAGTTCAATATTTCTCTCTCACAAAACAGCCATTAAACAATCTTTAGAAGACTTTCATTTTTTCCCAAAGTCAAGTCTTGCGAGTTCATATTATATAAAATAAGCACATTATTATAAGGGTAAATATATTATCGGTATGGGATATGTTATAACAGAAGACACACAATGGAAACATAACATTTGAAGCGTTTTTACAACCTTTTAAACGTTTTTACAACCTTTTAAACGTTTTTACAACATTTTAAACGTTTTTACAACCTCTTAAACGTTTTTACAACCTCTTAAACGTTTTTGCAACCTTTCAAACGTTTTTACAACCTATGAATTGTTATATAGATATTATACAGATTGTTATATGGGTGTTTACAAACACACACACACAGACACACAGATCGGACGCCGGTGGCTGTGAGGATAGCACGCTGGACACGTAATCCTGTGGCCCGGGTTCTATTCCCGGCGCCGGCGAGAAACAATGGGTAGAGTTTCTTTCACCTTGATGCTCCTGTCACCTAGCAGTAAATAAGTACCTGGGAGTTAGACAGCTGTTACGGGCTGCTTCCTGGGATGTGTGTGGGTGTGAAAAAAATATATAAAATTCGTTAATAACAGTTGATTAAATGACAGTTGAGAGGCGGGCCGAAAGAGCTAAAGCTCAACCCCCGCAAGCACAACTAGGTGAATACACACACTGTGTGCGCCTTGTGGCTGAGTGAACAGCACACTGGATACATTGTCCTGTGAACCGGGGTTCGATCCTCAGCGATGGCGGAAACAAATGGGCAGAGTTTCTTTCACCTTGAAGCGTCTGTTCACCTAGCAGTAAACAGGTACCTGTAAGTTAAGACAGCTGTTACGGGCTGCTTCCTGGGTGTGTATGTGTGTGTGTGAAAAAAAAAGGTGATTGATTGACAGTTGAGAGGCGGGCCGAAAGAGCTAAAGCTCAACCCCCGCAAGCACAACTAGGTGAACACACACACACACACACACACACACACACACACACACACACACACACACACACACACACACACACACACACACACACACACACGCTACAAGGGGTTCCTGGTTGTGTGCGGGTTGACTCAAACATGTGTGGTAATATGGCTCACTTGAGTAAGTATGAATTATGTATCAGTGTTTGTCACACGAGAAGCTATGTATAACATGTGTCAGTAATTATATATCACTTGTCAGTGTCATGTATGTCAGTATCGCATGGCGGTGACATATAGGTAACAGTACGTTAATCGTGTCCCATGCCTCAGTGTGTACAACCTGTTAGTAAGCATCTCTCTCTCTCTCTCTCTCTCTCTCTCTCTCTCTCTCTCTCTCTCTCTCTCTCTCTCTCTCTCTCTCTCTCTCTCTCTCTCTCTCCCTCTCTCTCTCTCTCTCTCTCTCCCTCGCACAACATGTAATATTATACATGCTGCTCTGAATTCCTGGGAAAACAAGAATCCAAGCTCCGAGTTGAGCTGTGAGCCAGAGACAGAGTGATTCGTCAGGAAGAACACAGAGGACGGCCAACCTGTCCTCTGACAAAGAACGTCGCATTTCCATTATCTGTGTTACATAAGGTCGGACTTGAAAAATGGAAGCGGCTGGCGAAAGTGACGTACTGTCCCGTTTTCTGTTTTGGGTCCTCTGGTAGGTTAGGAGAGGACACTTTCAATTGAGTGTTTTATTGGCATTAAGAAACCTTAGGAGGACGAGATAACCTCAGTGTTGACTCTTTTACAGAGAACATGTTTGCGATACTACTAGGAAAGTACGTGTAGAAGCAATTTTATTAAATGTTCCCAGATCAGTGGATAATACTTTGACATACTGTAGGAAAAATAAACTGTTTTACAACTTTTCTTTCAAAGTACTTAGCCGGACGGTTGGTGATGCCAGAGTCGTTGTGGGGGTCAGTCTGAAACTTTTGGTATGTTGTACTCTCCTGTATTCTGACAACCCGGATCCGATCATGTTGGGCGTGTACCCCAGAGCAATCAGGGTGCAAAACTGCATGAGGCATCTGGCCTCCAACCTTAGACAGACAGATAGACATTTCTAACTTATATAGACATGACCTCAAGTAAATATACACATAGAAGTTATTTTCCCTTGGCCACAAATAATGTGCCCGTTTCAAGCGGGAACACTTACGACATTTTACGCTAAAAACTCCCCAAAGCAACTAAGGAGCCATTAACGAACCCTGGATTGGCTAACGAGGCAATTATCGATTGAGCTAGTTACTAGGACTGCGGATAAATACTCGTTCAACGACGGCAAGCTGGTCTCATCAGTAAGAAAGTTTTCCCCCCACAAGGCTTTATTGCGGGTTTTTACACTAAGAAGATAAAAGGGAACCATTGGGCTCTGAGGTTACGAATTCCTGCACCGGACCTTATCGAGGCGCTGTGAACGACTTGGTCTATACAGAAGAGTACCAGTTTGGGGAGCTTTTAAAGTGGTCTTTTATGGCCTT